CTACTCTACTCTACTCTACTCTACTCTACTCGACTCTACTCTACTCTACTCTACTCTACTCTACTCTACTCTACTCTACTCTACTCGACTCGACTCGACTCGACTCTACTCGACTCCACTCTCCTCGACTCGACTCTACTCGACTCTACGCTATGCTACTCTACTCTACTCGACTCGACGCGAGTAATTATTTTGATAGTCTTCCATATATTATCAAAAAACATGCATGTGAAGGAATATAAAATTGAAAGGACACGTCATCATCATGTTAACCATCATTCGTAGCAACATCTGCATCATCATCATCATCATCATCATCATCATCATAATAATCACCAACATCATTATCAACATCATTATCATCATCATCATCATCATTATAATCATCACATCGTTGATGTTACCGGTTATCGGATTTTTATTATCTTAAAGTGCTATTGGCTGTTGAAACATTGTTTGCTTAAGCCCGAGGATTACGGGCTTTTAAATATGGCCGTAAGCAAGCCAAATAAATGAAAACCGATGATAATAATTAAACGTCAATAATTACCACTGTGTCAAAAATGAAGATTTCGTGATTGCCATAGCAACGGTTTCCACTTAAATACACATAAAAGGCAACGTTTTGTTGAACCCTCTTGTCCTTGTAATTTAATTGTAGAAAATGCAAAAAATATTTCACGGTTAATTTTTTTTCAAAGTAATTTTCCTCTAAAGTTGTAAACCATAATGTTTTATTTAAAAAGTCATGAGTCACACAAATGAAATTAATTTTTCTGCACAACAATCTGATTAAAAGCCAGCTATACATTAGGAATCTGGACCGGTCACCAATATGCTGAAACTGTCTTCGTGATTTTTCAAAACAGCCAAATCATCGGTGCCGTTTTTTCACAATTTTGAAAACGGGCGTTTTCTTTATTTAACCGCTGGAAAAAACCAATTTACGGAGTAGTAGTAATTTTCACGATTTCGCAGAGACCAAACACGGCGTTCTTTCCATATACCCTTTGCAGGTTTAAACTTGGAAAAACAATATTGGCATACCGGTTTGATTGCATGGCTGAAAATAGCTTTCTCGGGAAATTCCGAAATCATAATGAATTAAGGCGAACCATATGCGTGGTAACAGAAATAAGTTAGATCTAAACTTTAGTCGAATTGTGGTTTCTGCATAGATTAATTGGAAACACTATAGTAAATTTCCAAGAAATTTGATATCGATACTTAGTATAAACATATAGTTAAAACATTTACTTTTTATCTTTTTAAAACCGTTAATTTGGATTTTAGATTTTTTCGAAGTTTCGCATGTCCGGGGTTCCTTATTCCTCCTACTTTGGATAGCCAGTTTTTGGGAATTTCCGTTTTCATTCTCTTGATTCTTGTCCACCCAATTTTGGTAAAAATTCCGTTTCCGTTTTCTCTTTGCTTGGCTTGGCATCAAGTTTTCTTTCTCAAGAGTCAAATACCTTTCTTTTAATTGCCACGCCATTTCTGTCTATAAGTTCAGCGACTTTGCTCTCGGTCACACAGCTTTCGCAGCTTGTATAGGCCAAACACCACATTATCAAACATAAGGGAAAAAACGCCGCCATATTTGAGTTTAGCAGATATCAGCGGAAGTACGTGATTATATTGTATTGTATATGTACGTTAAGATAAGAAACAAGAAATAATGATTCGCCAACGTTGTTCACCTTAATTGTGAATTAATAAATTATAAATGCATTTTATTATGTTATAAAAGCAGTCCAATTTCTTCTGCCATTTTCGCCCCCCGCCCCCGCACCCCCATCCACATTCTTATGCACAATTCAATTGTTTTGAATAGACCACAGGCGCTAGTCACATAATCACATATTTTACATAATCGGCCTATATATGTATATCAAGATATCTTAATATAGTATATACATATAGAACATAAAAAGGTTTGTTTCAAGCACCTGTGGAATAGTCATTTCTTACACGGAAATAAAGTAGAATTTTGCTCTGCATTTTATTACCTCGCCATAAAGATAATAAAGGTGTTTTCTGTGTAATTCTCTATTTGCCTTTTTCATAATATATGAGTTTCTTGTGGAGTATTACCTATAAATTGTTCAGATGAGCTTTTTACAAAGATAAGATGGTCTGATTAATGAAAATTTTGCAAAAGATAACACACATATGGAGCATGGTTGTACAAACCTATTTGGAAGACCTTATATTATCTCTAGTAATAACAATTTTGTAAAGTTCTGTTATCTTCTATGTCAACTGACCTCATGTCTTTTATTCTTTTTTTGTGTGTGTATTTTTTAAAGTTTTTTTCCATTTGTTGTTTATTTCTGTAACACCAAACTTTTTTACCCTATGATTTCATCATATTTTTCTTTCTTTCTTTCTTTCTTTCTTTCTTTCTTTCTTTCTTTCTTTCTTTCTTTCTTTCTTTCTTTCTTTCTTTCTTTCTTTCTTTCTTTCTTCTTTTTAACTAGTCATAATAAACCCGCCGTGACCAGCATTACGTGTCGAGGAAGAGAAAGTAGAAAAAGGGGACTTGGAAACGTACGTATATAGCTCTAATATATGAGTATCGATAATTATTAATTTTGGTGGTGAGTCAGGCAGTATAGCCCTATATATAACTCTGCTCAACCCAGCCGTACATAAATGTAAGGAGAAGCCAGTGTGCGAATTATATACATGCATGTATTTCGAGTGATGATTATGAGAAAAGAACGGCAGAAATGTTTTTGATTAAGACGCTGCAGACGACGCGCAACCAATTATTTTTTCAGTGGCCTAGAACTGCACGCAGAATGCATTCCTCACGCTGAGTCAGCCATACAGGCTTATCAGCTGGTTTATGGTTCCTCGCTCACACAGATATGATACGTTAGCAGCGGTAAATGTATTGTCTGTAGCCAGGGAAACATTCATTTATAAAGAAAGAAATAGTCATTTCTCAGCGTCCATTTTGTTTGGAATATTTTCTCAAATTGTTTCGTAGAGGAACTAAGGAAGAATTTTTTTGATAAATTGAGTGTGATACAGGTTAGTTAGTTTTGATTTATAAATAGTTCTTCTTAAATTCTCATGAGTAAAACTGTTTATCCGAGTTAAACAGAAAACGACCACTCCCCAGGTGTAGTATATATTTTGTATGCTAGGGATGAAAATTTTGTTTTGATTTTTTAGTGCAACTAGTAAGATATAAGCGAAATTTTACACACAGGCACATCATATGAAAAATTGAGATATCTATTTTGATAGTAATACTCTCAAAATTAAAATCTATTTCAAATTCATCATTTTTTCGCCTCCAAAGTAATGTGAACTATCAAATGTCATTGTTTTTGTTGACTCAAGTGCAACGATGGCATAACATATAATATGTGATAAAATGATTTCGCTCTCATATGATTTACTAGTAAATTCGATAATTGATTCTTTACCATTGAAATATATGTGTTCTTAAGTACCACTTATATTATGAAAGTTACTGAATTTGTGAAGTAATATCCTATATATACGTCACTGTATAAGTAAATTTTGTGATGTGTGATTAAATAAGTGATGTACAAAATGTATTAATACATTTGTTTGTTTGATTTTTTTTCTTTTAAAACCATGATTATGTATCGTTTATATTAATTTTGCCTTGTTGAGAATCAATAACTGACCCCAGCTAGGTGAGGAACCAAAAAGCTTGATTGCTGTAAATATTTTACTTAGTCCGTCGCTTATTAAAGTAACTCCACTGATGTCGTTAAGTCTCTCAAACATAAAATAGATAAGTTTACAAATCTCAAAATACAGACCTCTACAAAAAAATTACAAAGGGATATACTCAGAATAATATCTAAAATCGTTTTTTTTTGGTGTGATTGTTAGATGTGATGCCTTTCATTTTGAGCCATTTTACAATTATATAAAGAGACTATTCTTGATAAAAGGGGTATGGGAATGACACACACGTTATTGGTCCAGACCTACATCTATTGGTACAAAAATCTCGGAAAATATATTTCCAGTCTCGTCATGTAAAAACAACAACAACAACAACAACAACAACAACAAAAAGACAAACAAGCTCAGATGCGCCCCTTTAATAACGTGCGCGAAGTAAGAAATCAAACAAATGGATAGGCTGATTAAATTGTGGTAACTAATAGCTAAGCTGTTGATATCCTGAGTGTGATTTATTTTGATATATCTTACAGATTGATTTGGCTTATATTAAAGGGACACCACTGATGTTTCTTAATATTAGTTGACAGGAGATAATTTTTCAAGATGAATGTCCATAATTTTGATGTAGGTCTAGTCCAAAAACTTGTGTGCAAAATGTCAGAGCACTCAGAGCTTACTCTTTTTTCAGAGTGATTATTCTGATTGTGAATAATGAGCCAAAATAGAAAACCGTTGTAACGCTTGCTCTCAAATTGGGCTTAGAATGTCACAAAAATACGGTTTTCAGTTTTTTTCTGAGTATATTTCTTAATAATCTTTTGCAAATCGCTCCGTTTTAAGTGCCCCATCTGATCTATGGAAAAAATTCAAATTATATATGTTTAGGCGTTTAGACCCCAGTAGAGTTCCTATAAGGAGAAACATGTCGTAAACTGTTGTAATATTACAATTTATAAAAAAATCTGATTTCATTCCATAAGGGTCGTCGCGCTTCGGCGCGGACGCCAAACATAAAGTAAGGTTTAGGAAAATTCATGTTACTTAAACGCTTGCAGTAAAATGAAAGAAATAAAGAAAGGAATTAAGGGAAAAAAGGAAAGAAATGTAGTTGATATAGATCTAGAAGAAAATAAAAACGCTGCTTATGTATACTTATGAAGAGCAGACATGAACGAACAAACATGTTTTGCCATTTTTTTCAGATAAATACAAAAAAGGAAAGTTATATAGTAAATATAGAAGAAAATGAAAACGTTGCATATGTAAACTTCACGTATGAAAAGCTGAAACGGACAACCTTATACTTTTTCTCCATTTTTCAGATAAGCTACATTATCCAAGATGTCTAGCATGAAATCACGCCGGAAGAAGGGTGGGCGCGTGCAGCGTCTTACGTCAAATGTATTTGCCATGTTTGACCAGGCACAGATACAAGAGTTCAAGGTTAATATTGCTATAGATAGATTGATACTTTTATTTCCTCCAGGCGGGAGAGCATAATTACGTTTACATAAGGCACAGCACAAGAACATGAGAATATAAAAACATACAGATCTACACATGTTCACAAATATTACTAATTAAGTATGACTGAGTAATTTTTATTTGTTTGGGTCGTCAGACCAAACAAATAATGATAGCGAAATTTCAGACCCTGATGTTCTTATTTGCAAATACCGAAAGTAGTCCAAACTCCTCGAAGCGGTTACTTCCCTTCATATGTACATTAACGCCGAAAAATTAAGGGGAGATCACTGCGTAAAGATTGTCAAATGACAGCCGCATTAATTTTCGTAACGAAAAAATAGTTCCCGATTGATCGAAGATTTCTTAATAAGGGTTACAAACTCTTATTTAGAATAATATGGTATTCTTCAGGCTGTTATCTTATAACTCCCCATGGTCGAGGGGTTTACACGCTCGCTTAGCAAGAATGGATTTGGCTATATTTTGCAACATGACTATAGAATTAATTGTAATTAGGGGAACATGTATATATGACCGTCATGACTCGTTTGGTCTTGGTAATGAATTATAAATGTACGTGTCTTACATTTTGTATAACGTCATTTGTTTACTTTTAGGAAGCTTTCAACATGATTGATCAAAACAGAGATGGTTATGTTGATAAAGACGATCTGCAAGATGTCATGGTGTCCCTAGGTATGTTATAAACATTAAAATCTAAACTTTAAATTAAACCCGGGAACAAATGCAACGGCCCTGAAATAATACCAATTACTAGTATTTTGAAAGAATGACAAATATTCTAAAATAATGATTAATTTAATAATGAAACAATACAGTGAAATAATGCCAGTGTTAATGAAATGTTGATACTATCCGACCCTGAATTAGTGCCATAAAATCATGAAATAACGATCCTAAAAAATACCTTAAAATATTGCCAGTTATCATGAAATAATGATCCCGAAAGAATACCATGAAATACTGCCAGTGATCATGAAATAATGATTATGATCTTGAAAGAATACCATTAAACATTGAAATAATGATAACGATCCTGAAAAAATACCTTAAAATATTGTGATCATGAAATGATGATAATGATTCTGAAATAATATCATAAAACATTGCCAGTTATTATTAAAGAATGGTAATGATCCTAAAATAATACCATAAAACATTGCCAGTGATCATTAAATAATGGTAATGATCATGAAATAATACTATAAAATGTTGCCAGTGTTCATGAAATAATAGTAATGATCATGAAATAATACCATAAAACATTGCCAGTGATCATTAAATAATGGTAATGATCATGAAATAATACTATAAAATATTGCCAGTGTTCATGAAATAATGGTAATGATCATGAAATAATACTATAAAATGTTGCCAGTGTTCATGAAATAATAGTAATGATCATGAAATAATACCATAAAACATTGCCCGTGTTCATGAAATAATGATAATGATCCTGAAATAATACCATAAAATATTGCCAGTGTTCATGAAATAATGATAATGATCCTAAAATAATACCATAAAATGTTGCCAGTGATCATGAAATGATGATAATTATCCTAAAATAATACCATAAAACATTGCCAGTGATCATGAAATGATGGTAATGATCCTAAAATAATACCATAAAACATTGCCAGTTATCATGAAATAATGGTAATGATCCTAAAATAATACCATAAAATGTTGCCAGTGATCATGAAATTATGATAATGATCATGAAATAATACCATAAAACATTGCCCGTGATCATGAAATAATGATAATGATTCTGAAATAATACCATAAAATATTGCCAGCGATCATGAAATAATGATAATGATCCTGACATAATACCATAAAACATTGTCAGTTATCGTGAAATAATGATAATTATCCTGAAATAATACTATAAGATATTGCCAGTGTTCATGAAATAATGATAATGATCCTGAAATAATACCATAAAATATTGCCAGTGATCATGAAATAATGATAATGATCCTGAAATAATACCATAACATATTGCCAGTGTTCTTGAAATAATGATAATGATCCTGAAATAATACCGTAAAATATTGCCAGTGATCATGAAATGATGATAATGATCCTGACATAATACCATAAAATATTGCCAGTGATCATGAAATGATGATAATTATCCTGAAATAATACTATAAGATATTGCCAGTGTTCATGAAATAATGATAATGATCCTGAAATAATACCATAAAATATTGCCAGTGATCATGAAATAATGATAATGATCCTGAAATAATACCATAAAATATTGCCAGTGATCATGAAATAATGATAATGATCCTGACATAATACCATAAAATATTGCCAGTGATCATGAAATGATGATAATTATCCTTGAAATAATACCATAAAATATTGCCAGTGATCATGAATAATGATAATGATCCTGAAATAATACCATAAAATATTGCCAGTGATCATGAAATAATGATAATGATCCTGAAATAATACCATAAAATATTGCCAGTGATCATGAAATAATGATAATGATCCTGAAATAATACCATAAAATATTGCCAGTGATCATGAAATAATGATAATGATCCTGAAATAATACCATAAAATATTGCCAGTGATCATGAAATAATGATAATGATCCTGAAATAATACCATAAAATATTGCCAGTGATCACGAAATAATGATAATTATCCTGAAAAAAATTACCATAAAATATTGCCAGTGATCATGAAATAATGATAATTATCCTGAAATAATACTATAAGATATTGCCAGTGTTCATGAAATGATGATAATTATCCTGACATAATACTATAAGATATTGCCAGTGTTCATGAAATAATGGTAATGATCATGAAATAATACCATAAAATATTGCCAGTGATCATGAAATGATGATAATTATCCTGACATAATACCATGAAATATTGCCAGTTATCATGACATAATGATCCCGAAATAATACCATGAAATAATGCAAGTGATCATGAAATAATGACAAATGATCCAGAAAAAATCACAAAACAATCCGAGGATTCCTGAAAGAATTATAATGATCCAAACATAAAAAAGATGGTTATAAAATAATGCCAACGATCCTAAAAAATGAAAATGATCCTGAAATTATACCAATGATCTTGAAATAACGTCACCTATCCTGAAATAATGCTGAATATCCCGAAATATGATTAAACGTCTAAAAATTAAACGAAAATATCTTTTCAGGCAAGGATCCCTCCGACGATTATTTAGAGAAGATGATCGCTGAAGCTCCTGGACCAATCAACTTTACCATGTTCCTGACCTTATTCGGTGACAAATTGAATGGAACTGATCCGGAAGAGGTTATTCGGAACGCCTTTACTTGTTTCGATGACAAACATTCCGGTACGTTACCGAAAGTTTCTTTATCTATTATACGTATGATAAGCTACTTCTATTCGTTATATTTTGCGCTTCTTCCACCCGACGGCTTTAAAAAATCAACAATCTTTCTTAATGAATGAAAGAAACTTTACCCAGAAGGCTACCACAATTTCTAATGCATTTAGTTTTACCCATGGAAAAACGTTTCATATTAATTGTGAAGTGAAATGAAGAAAAATGAAAAATAGGTTATTTTAATTTAAATATACATTGGCACAAAATTTCAAGCATTTGCCTGAAGTTCAGTTTTTTATACTCTTGAAAGCACACTTTTAAAATATTGCTAAATTCAGGGCTTTCAGATTTTAAGAAAACTTGCAACCATGAATATATCGTTAGTTCTGATATAAAAAGTAGACTAAACAAATTCTAGTATTGATAAGCGACTGAACATGACATAGAATAGTCTACGTTTTGTTAATACAAAAAGAATGTATTTTAGTTTAATAAAGTAAAAAGAATCTTGCGGCACTTCTCAATTCTGAGGTTCGATATTTAACAAAAATCTACAAAAATGTACTATGTGTCTTTATTTTGTACGTTTTCCATACTATTCTATAAACTTGAATCCCTTGGAAGGCCTTAATCTAATGCTGTTAGAATTTGTTCCACAACGCATTTCCTTTTGTTTAATTGTATAAATTTTGTGTGTATATTTGCATGTATATGTAGGCAATAGAAATATGGTTAAGCTAAAAACTTGTACTTCGTTCCATTAAATACATTGTCTTGTTACTGAGATGTCGTATCAACTACAAACAGCTATCAATTGTATTTAAAAAGTATAATTTACTCTTCTTTTAAAAGAGCTATATTTTCATGTAGAGTTCAAAAGAACAGAAAAATTCGAACCATCGCTGAGAGTGCCGATTTAAATATTGGTTGTACAAGTTTCATTCTTGTTGTAGGTTATCTGCCCGAGGAATACCTCCGCGAGTGTTTGATGTCCATGGGCGATCGGTGGTCTGAGGATATGGTTGATGAACTCTTTCACGGGGCCCCAATTAAAGATGGCCGCTTTGACTACAACGAATTCACGCGTACACTGAAACATGGATCACGTGACAAGAAGGATGACGACATACCGGATATTCAACCTGAGTCGCAGAAGACACCCCCGGAAGTACCACCAAAACCTTCGAAAGCTTAGAGTTTCTTTTTTTATCTCATAAATATGGTGAATAATTCCAAAGTTTATATTTCTTATTTTTATCATTTACAACTTTAAGATTTGTGCATTCGCCTTTTGAAGTAAACCAGAAACCAGTTTTGTTTGTTCGTCTCTTTAAACAAAAAATGGCTCAACTAAACTTATGTAAGCGGGACCACTATGTGTTGTCAAAAATTCTCTAAAAGTTAGATGACGCAGAACGAAACCCCTCTTTATCAAGCTGATTAGATCAATATTTTATCTAGTATTTTATGTTCTACATCAGTATTTTATGTTGTCTGGTGCTCTTTCCACCATTTTCCGCAGTAACATAAGTAGGGAGCCAGACAACGTTTTTATTTATACAACATTATCTTGCGACAAAACGCCTACAATCAAGAAATATCAGTGAAAAAATCTCTAAAAATGTGTCTTTCTAATGGAAAACGGTGGTCTTCAGTAAAAAGTCGCAACTTTTCGACCCTTTCGCCAATTTCGGATAAAGTTTACAAATGAAACATTATAACTGCATTAATGGCGGATCTTTCCTTTCTCATAAACTACGATTTTGTTTATTTAAATTTTCTAAATGTTTTATGACTTTTTGAAATATCTGAACTATTTTGATTAGCAGACTTTTTCATATTTAATTAGCAGAGTTTTACTATGTGTTTGGTCATTAAAAACAATGCATTTATTGTAAGCTCATATGTTACTGCTTAAACAATAAAATATATGAAAAGATATGATGTTTTATGTTTTATTCTATACTCAGAGTGTTTTTATTTTACCAAATTAATGTTTCAATATAGATCTATGACACTTCAGTTTTCAAGACATAATTCGAACATATAAGGAAGAAAGAAGAAACTATTCTACATCAAAGTTAAAAGAAACGATCATCATAAATTCATGAATAGCTTTTATATGTAGATCATTTTCTGTGCTGGCCTGTTGGCCTTTTCAAGTTTATTCAATATATCCCAATATATCCCAGTTCGTAATTTTACAATACAAAAACATAAGACAAATACATGTGTGATAATAAATGATAATATACAATCAGCAACATTGTATGAATATATTAGATCACGGATTAAAGTATGTGATTAAATGCCAAAATGTATCTTGGCTGATGAAAAATCACCTTATGTAATAAAAGAAAAAATAACGAAAAGCAATTTAATCTGTCAACTTCTGTACTGAAACTTTGGCCCAATTAATATTGTTTTAGTGTCTAAAGAATTATACTCTATATTTATCAATTATTTAATTAATAAGACTTTTGATTGGTCAATTTGTCTGTCAATGGCACGCGTTTTGTGTAAATATCAGTATTACACGGTCAGACAAATTATGTCATAATTTTATGCTATAAAATTGCAAGAAAATCATGCAGATATAACGGATATTCGCACGTGGTCTAGACTTTATGAATTGATGTTTTTGTGAGGAAGGTTGTGTAAGTGCTATATACAATGTACATGTGTATATATAATTTTGAAGTTATTTATCTCTTGTTAATGTGATTAGAATGGAGAATTCTCAATGTGTGGTGACATATACAAGATGTGAAATTCAGTGATAGAAAACATTCACATTATTTATGGATTTTATTAGGCCTTTCCGTCAACGGTTGGTGGTAAGTGATCATTTTATAATTTCACCTGAGTTATATTAATATACATTTAAAAATTACGGTTTACTATATTGTCTTAAAGGTCCATTATGCCTTTGAAATGCTTTCAATTTATTTCTAAAAACTTGTTTTTTACTGTTGGTGCCCTGTTATAGTTTTTTTACCAATTGGCCAAGCACCTGGAACATCTTTTGCTTCTGTTGCTTTTGTTAATTGGTATACGTTGAAAGCTGTATTCGGTGCAATTATGTTGCTATATACGTCGTAACCAGTGCCTACTTGTTAAGACCTTTATGCAACTCACAACAAACATGAAACAAACAAATAAACAATCAAACAAACAAATAAATAAACAAACAAACAAACAAACAAACAAACAAACAGGAAACGTATATATAACTAGAAACGTATCAGCGCATCACAAAATTGCGTTATAGAAGCAATTTATTTCGTTCCAAGCATTTGTGGAATTAAATATCAACCACAGCAACGCTAGATGTCATAAATAAACGTGTCCTTCTTTCATTCCGGACCAACCATTTCGCCATTCTTAGTGAAAGTTCCAAACTATTGACTAACTAAATGGCAAACAGTGCAGACCATAGAAGTGTCGGCTGATCTTAGACTGTACTGATCACAGTAGTAGAATTTGTTACTATAAGCTAGGGGTTGATAAACGTTTAAATATAAAAATAACTAAATGGTAATACGACGAATTGATTGTTTTGGTTAGGTTTTGACGTTACAACAACAAAGTAAAGATCTTATGGCAATTTCCCAGCTTTACTGGTGGTTGAAGTCATCAGGCGCCTCTCCGAACATTATTTCAGACACTAACGGGCACCTGTAGCACCACCGTTGTTCTATAAGCTAGCTCATATGAAAGAGCAGGATTCGAACCCACAGTATTAAGGGACAAGTGATTTGAAGTCAACGACCTTATCCACTCGGCCTCGGACTAAAAGGTAAATAGTAATAAAAATCAAGAGATATTAAGCTTCATTTCTTTATTTCCGACTTATAAAGAGTTTAATATCATTTTAGCAAAATATTCAATTTATACTTTGTCATGAAGTTCATCTGCACTCATTTTGGAACATATCGAGTTAACATAAAGAGAACATTTATAGAAAAATATTACACTGTTTTGTATTACAAAAATATTCCAACAATCTTGAAATGGACCCAATCCTAATCAACAAAATAAAAATTCAAATGATTTCAGTTTCGTGACAAATTATTGCTGATGTGTTCATTTGACTTTTTCTTTCTTTACTTCTGATTATCAATATTCGGAATTCGCAATATTATTTTTCACTTTTTGTTCATGCCATTTACAGGGAGGTAGCCAGGATTTTCATTTTCGCTATAAGTATACATAAATTGCTATAACATGAGAGTAGAACTATATGGAAATATAGTTGAAGGCCATATCAAAGTCTTGAATATCTACGTCATATTTGATTTTTCCCTAAGGATGAAATCAAGATAAGATTTATCGTCTGCTAAAAGCACGTGGCTTCTTTCCTTTACGTTATCCTAAATAGCCTGAAGTTTTGAAAACTCTTATGAAATGGTTTCTCTTAATTTGCTAATTAAGATAGATATTTGAGAATTCTAAGGACGGCTAAATATAGTCGTACATAAATTAAATAAAGAGTGATATACATGTATAGCCGACATATTCTTTCCTTGAATTATATAAGTACATGTACTATAAATAGACGAGGGTTGTTCGGAATGTTTGTATAATTTTGCGTATCTCTAACATTGTTGATAAACATATTGTTCGATTTTTGAAAAGATAAGGTCATTGAATAATCAAATGATAGGAGAATAAATTTGAAAATAACAGAAAGTGACTAAATAAATTCTAAATAAAAGTCCATAATATTCCGATTTCCAATAAAAAATACGATGTTTTCGTACTTCGGAAAAAAAAAACGTTGTTTTATCCTGTTGTTATGTTTTTTAAGGTAATTTTATAATCAAGTTTATTCAGAAAAAATTAAGTGTCGTAAAAATCAATTATTTCACCATTATTACTACTGTAGAAGTTTTTGTAAGCTTAAACAAAATATGAGGTATATACTTATTCGATCTTTGACTTATTTTATTAAATGAGCAAAACTAAAATTATGCTTGACAATATGAAACATAGCTAGATTATGTCGTAAAAGTATAACAATATTAAATAATGTCGTAAAAGTAAAACAACGCTGAATAATGTCTTAAAAGTAAAAACAATAACCGCTAAATAATGTCGTAAAAGTAAAAAGAAAATGCTAAATAATGTCGTAAAAGTTAAACAACGGTGAATAATGTCTTAAAAGTAAAAACAATAACCGCTAAATAATGTCGTAAAAGTAAAAAGAAAATGCTAAATAATGTCGTAAAAGTTAAACAACGCTGAATAATGTCGTGACAGTAAAAGATAATAACCGCTGAATAATGTTGTAAAAAAAAACAAAAACACCGCTGAATAATGTCGTAAAAGAAAAAAACCCGCTGAATAATGTAAAGGTAAAACAATGTCGAAAAGTCGAAATTATCAAAATTGTTGAATTATTTCATCTATGACGTTTAATGTATTGAACCATCTTTTTTAAACAAACTTCAAAACGTTTTGGTACAAGATAAGTTATAATCTACAATAACTGTTCCTCAACGGGTGTTAAAGCTTCCCAACTTCTTTTATTCCAACTTCCACGTTTGTTCCAGCTTCCGCGTTTGTTCCAGCTTCCACGTTTGTCAAAATAAGCATCCCAACTGCCTCTCTTGTTCCAACTTCCTCGTTTATTCCAACTTCCTCTTTTGTCAGTCTCGTTATCGTCATCATATCCGTATCCCCTCCTCTCGTTTCCGCACCTGAAAGCAGACGACATTTTAGATTGCACTTCCGCTTAAATTGAGACCTCTGTTTCAATTTCTAATGGTTTTCTGATTTATTTTTTACATGCTGCGATTTATTATAAAACTTTTACGCATGTTAAAGGGACTCCACTGAGGTTCCTTAACATATGGGGGACAGGAAATAATTTTTCGAGATTAATGTTCCATTTGATATAGGTCTAAAACAAATAACATGTGTGCAAAATTTCAGTTCATTCGCTAACTCATTTTTTCCAGAATGATTATTCTATTTGTAAAAAAATGACCCAAAATTGAAAAGCGTTGCATCGCTTTTTACTCAAATTGGGCTAAGAATGGCGCAAAAGTGCCTTAGCTAATCTTTGTAAAAATTCAAATTTTATGTTTTAGGCTTTTAGTGCGAAGTGGAGTTCCTTTAATCAATATTGAGTGGACTTGTGTCCAAGACTTGCATCATTGTCACATGTCACTCAAAATATTTTTGAGGCAATAGATTTTACTATTAATTATCATTAAAATGAAAAATGAAAGGAGAAAAAGTACGTTTTAAGCAAATTAAAACTAAATGAATGCAAAAATATATTTGTTTAAAAGAGTACATTTATTTTCGAAATTTTGCGCATCTGCATAAAAAACAGCCTGAAACAAATCGTTCCTTTACAACAGATATTTTCTAATTAGGTCATTTGTGAATTTAAATTCGTTCATTTTCGAAAAGACCTATCTTAAAAACCGGAAATGCTGCCACATTATCATGAAAAAGAGACAACCCGTCACGTGATGTATGTTGTAATATACTTAACCCAATGTACCGAAACGTCTTTCACGTGCCGGAAACGTATCAAGATTTCTTCCCATTTTCATCACAGTTCGTTAACAATATATCATACATTTATGTGTATTTTAACAAATCAGTAACAAATGATATAATATAATGATTCGCAGTAATAGCACGACCTAGACCCACTCTGATACATTAAATGCGTTCATAATAAATATATTACAATGCGATAATAATAAATATATATTACAATGCGATCAGAGTCTAATAAAATACAGTAAATTCATAGTAAGGATTACAATGCGATTATCGTTTGATAAATTTCATTGCCGTCATTGTATAAAAATTACAATGCGATTAAAGTATAATAAATTACGATGCGATCATAGAAATAACATTACAATGCGATCATTATTGATACATTACAATGCGATCATAGTATAATAAAATTATTATGCCATCATAGTATAAAAAATATTATACGGATAAAGAATAATGAATTACAATGCGATCATAGAAATAACATTACAATGCGATCATAATTGATACCTTACAAAGCGACCATGATATAATAAAATTACAATGCCATCACAGTATAAAAATTATTACACGGATAAAGGATAATGATTACAATCCGATCAGAATAATTAAATTACAATGCGATCAGAGAAAATAAATTACAATGCGATCATAGAAAATAAATTACACTGCGATCATAGTATGACCAATTATAATGCGATCAAAGTATACTGAATTAAGATGCGATCATACTGTAATTACAATGTAATCATACTAAATAAATTTCAAGGCAATCATACGATCATAAATTAACAATGCGATCATAGTGTAATAAATTATTATGCGATCAAATTATAATGAATTACAATGCGATCATAGTCAATAAATTACAATGCCATCAAATTTTAATGGATTACGATGTAGACAAATTAAAATCTGAACATAGTAAAGTAAATTACAATGCGATCATATAAAATTATCAAATGCGATCATAATAAATAAATTACAATGCAATTATGATAGTGAAATTACACTAAGGCCACAGAACATAGAGTATTTTCTTAATATATTTAAGTTTATTAGCATTGTGAAGTTCTTGATTAATACATTTAAGCGTATACTATTTTTAACTAATCTAATAAGCGTGACGTTTTATTTTTCATAATCAAGCGTGCAAATAAGCGAAATGTATGACCTGCAAGTACAATAAGCGTAGATTTTATGTTAAAACATGATTTTCAAGCGAGTTCATAAGTGTGTCTTCTTATACGTTAAATCTTTATATCTTGTCTGATAAGCGTGCATAGACACATTTAGAGTTAAACGTTTGTTTGATTAGCCAATTCATACCAATTTTCTTATATTAAATTATGTTGTATTATGAATGACTGGTCATGCAAGTGTATTTTACACTCCCTTTTCTGTTGTTGCGTTGTACGTCGCACCAACACTGAAAAGTTCATATGACGATTTACCAGCTTTACTGGTTGCGAAAGACCTCAGGTGACCCCCGTGAATTATTTCAGGCACGAATTAAGACCTTATTAGAACCACCGACGTTTTATTAGCTAGCTAGGTAGCATCCTCACAGCTAGATATCTTCCTCGCATGAAATAATCCAAAGTCTCTGGCGGGATTCGAACACACAACAGTAAGGGGCAAGTAGTTTGAAGTCAACGACCTTAACCACTCGGCCAAGTCGCCCATATAAACTTACATAGTTGTACAATTAAATTAATGACTTGTCAGCCTGAAGTCCTTTCTATGATAAGCGAATATATTGACGCCATGTCTTATGTTTAGAGTTAGAAGAGCATTTTATGCAGGATGAATGATTATAGACTAGGTCACTTTACAAGATAAATGAGTTCACAAATCGACAATATTCTAGTTCATGTATCTTCAATTAAACATATGTAATAAGCAAGACAAGAAAAAAGGAGAGGGTAAACTGATTTTAAGTGTGATTCTAATACCGTAGTGAATTTACACATCAAATGATAATCGATAATATTCCTCGAAAATCATCGCAAAAATGAAACAATTTTCGTAAAAAGCTTTACTCTTGACATTCTTATAATATGCCCCTTTTCCCTCTTGAGATTTATTTTGTATTAGACGCTTTATTGCTAATCGAGGCAAACGCATAAAAAAGAGATTCAATAGTTTAACGCGTATGAATTAATGAAATATTACGATAATTAAAGGTCCTACAGGTATAACTACGCATGCCTCCAGATTTGTCTTTGAAATGTTGAAAATGTATTTAAAATAGAATTCAGTGTTTGACTGTGTGTGAAGTGGACAAAAAAAGTAATTTGCATTTTGCAAACTACTCTGAAAATACATTTAAATTACCAAAAAAGAGGTCAAAATATGCCAAAATAAAACTTACTGCGTAAGTCACGCAGTAGAAGAAATAACGTAACTGTAGGACGATAAAGTGAACATAACAACATTTAACTGTAGAACGATAAGGTGAGAACATAAAATATTTGAAAGTTGAACGATAAAAAGAACATAACAACATTTATCAGTAGAACGATAAAGTGAACATAAAACATTTAACTGCAGAAGTGAACACAACAAGGAAAAGGGTAACTAACACAGACGGTAAGTGATTGGTACACACTTCAGCTAAATTTCCTACATAACACCTACGGCACATGGACAACACAAGTATTCAGTGCACACTACTCTAAAATTGGGTGAACATTGGGTGAACATTATCAAGTGATCATAATAGTGCTGTGAACATAAACAATGAGTAGTTTAACTACACTTGCAATGGTCCGTCAATATATTTACCTTGACAACAGCCTGCAGGTAGATCACAACATAAAATATTATAACAATTATTACACAATTATATATCACAATAGGGTAACAAATCAAACAAAATGGTTTTGATTTTGTTGTTGTTTTATTTTGGTTTGTTTTACGGCGCACCTATACAATCTAGGTCATATGGCGCCGAAACAGGAAAGATGACTTTGGCTAGCCTCCAGTGTTACAAACTTGAAGAACAGCACCAGGAGTCAAAACCATCTTACCAACTGGAGCTAAGAGATGCATAGAGTCTAAAATATAACCATTGATTAAACCAAGCACTCATGTTTGTAATTACATAACTTCTAAGCTTGAATAGTGTTATTAGACAATTTATTATTTGGGGTATCGGTTAGTTAAGCCACGCAGACACCACTATTTTGCAAGATTTCAGTTCTCATTGGGGGCGCAAATAACCAAATGCAAAGTGCTCAGCCGAATGGCATCATAACTCATACATTATTAAACGAGATATGAGGGTAAAACGGCTCGAGATCGGCAACATTAATCATTTAAGTCCCGGAGCTGTGTGGCCGTTACAGAACAGAACAGAACTTTTATTTCTTTGATTTGTACATAGTACATGTCGCAACGCCGCTAAATATCGCACTTGCCGTTAAATGTCGCCAAATCTTCTGGCGATAAATGTCTCAATAGTAACGTTAAATGTCGAACAATGTTCCCTTACTGTTTAATGTCGCAACACTACCGTTAAATGTCGTTATACTCTGGTAAATGTCGCAAGACACATATATTTATGATAAAATTTAGTTAGCTAGTGGTCTTAAATAACAATCAACATTGAGAATGCACCGGTCCATCTATCTGCCGACTCAAGATGAAAAATGCTTGTTACAATGGTCACATTTTTCAAGCCATATCTAAAATATTATAAAAAAGCAACATATTAACGTATCATTCGTATATTTTTACAAAATAATCCTTAGAAAAAAAATGTTTATTTTACAGTTCTACATGATTTCATGTGTCATTTATATGATGACTAACATTTTGTTCTAGAACATCATATTATCAACATCTACACATAATTTTTTCATGGTTGGTTATCACAAATGATTTTTTTAATACAATCAGCATAAATATTTATGGTAATATACATACTTTCGGCTTTATTTTGAACTTTTTTACCTCCATTCGGAGAGTCAAAAATACATACAAAGCTATCAAAATGCTTAGTTTCGGGTTATGACCCAAAAATACTACTTATCCTGCACACAAGGAATAATTACAAAGACAGAGAAATATCAAACGTTTCTAGTTCTTTCAAAACACCATGTTTAAGTTATCAAAAAAATTGACCGGGACCATCCTTCGGACATTTAGGGGCAACGTCGCGACATTTAGCGGCGAATGTGACATTTAGCGTGGTTGCAACATACAACGGCACAACAATTGCTTAACGAGACGTTAAAACAAGATTTTAAGTTTCACTCGTGAATAAAACAAAGCAATTAATAGAAATTAAAAACTTTTTTATATAAAATATATTATCTAAGCTATTTTATTCATGAAATATCCCAATAAATCTTAATTGCTGTCATACCATCTTTCCTTTTAACATTTCTGCCAGAATTTATAGCAAATAATAGATCATTATAAAAAAATACGATAATTACTTCAGATATGTCAAACGTCAAAAATGTGACGTCATAAGCTACTTACGAAACAGTCTCGAGGTTACATTCTTCAACGCATTGAAAATAAATATCACAGCATTGCTCCGTTATAAAATCCTTCCCGTCGGCGTCGGCTTTCCGGGAACAACTCATCATTCCAATAAGACAGTTAAAAACGGAGCATTTCCCTTGTACGGTGTGGACGAATACAAATACAGTCAAGGTTGCTAAGCAGACGAGAGAAAAGGTTTTCGTAGTCATCTGGAAAAAAATAATAAAAAAAATAAATAAAATGAAAAATAAAAATGAAGAAAAATTGTAATGTCCGTTATTCACCACTTTTTAAAAGCATTAGAGCATTGATGCTTCGGCATCGCAAAAAGTAACACGTGAGATCAAAAATATTGGATTGAATTTGGCACCAACGAGTATGTGAAATAATTCTGGTGTAGCCTAAACACATTTACAATTTACTTTACATTACGTGCCTTTAAAAAAAGGTAGTTTCTGTTCTGTTAAAGTATGCATTTAAAAACGACAAAAATCTGCTAAACGATCGTAGGATTCTTGAAAACAGATCGTTAACTGGCTCTGAATTTACTACTCTAAATTTGTAATGGACTTTGTTTTTGTTTGATGTAAAAATACTCATGAAGAAAAATTTTCTCTTGAAGCAAAAACAGCAGCAAAAATATATTAATTCGAGGTGTTTCTTCTTCTCTTTTTAAAGCAGCATGCCTGCAGATTCATACTTATTTTTTAATAAAAATTTTGAAAACATACTTAAGGATAACATATTGTGAAGTGAACAGCTAAAATGATTTACACATAAAAAACAACACTTACAATCCACAAGTTAAAAACTAAAATAAAAAAGTCAAAATGTGTAAAAATAATTCATAGTGTTGTTACACTAGCGTAATGTCGTTTTTATAAAAAATGGTGATAAATGGTGATAAATTGTATGTTATACATCACAAGAAACTCCCTCACTTAACAGTATTAACATTCATCACCCATATGCCCATATTAGGGTTATCAGCCAATGTTAAAAACTCATTATGCTATTTTCTAAAAATAATTCCATTATTTTATTTTTTCCTTTAATTTTAACATCATATAGAGTTGTTAATCAGAATGCAAAACTTTCCTCGTGTTATCCGGTATTTAAATTAGCTAATAATGAAAAAATTTCATTGTCTCAAACTCCATTAAAATGTTTCGTTAGTGTAACCAGAATCTGAATTTTTATTAGTAATGAAATCTTTAATTCTAATCATTTTTTTTCAAGGTCAAAAATTCTTAGCTTTGATTCTGAAAACTACCGTGTACTGAGTTTCGTTTCTTGTTACAAAAATTTCTTAGAACACTGTTTTCTGTTGATACATATAACTCATTATGTATATCATTACACAATTATTGACTAGTGTGCCATTGGATATGATGTGATATTCAACGGCAGATGACATATTGACCGAGGCGATATGCGGTCTACCTTTTAAGTAATGATATTTTAATCGAGAAATATACCATAAAAAAACAAAACGCAACAATTATCTGTTTCAATAAGCACGTATAATTAACAGTGTACGATATATGGTAAATGAATATGAATCTCAATCTATTTTTAGACTGGGAATATCCAATTCAGCCTACACCCAGTGATTCTTTACAAAGTTCTGTTGACTACTGTTTGAACTAATGAGATTGCAGCTAAATATAATTCATACAGTCTATTATTAAATGACATACACGTATTATGAATTATAATTCAGTGCTATTTCAACTGGCTTCATGGCCTAAATTGCTGCAAGAAAATCTTAAACTCGAAACTTTCTCTAAGCTATTTAATACATTACAAAACAACAACAACAACAACAACAGCAACAAAAACCCTGATGAATAACGACTAGCGTAATAATTTCATGTCAACTGTTCTTATAATACAAACATTTATTGTTGATTATCTGGTACATAAAAACCCATTTGTGAAGTTGACTTACGGAAAATCAGTGAATTATTTTATTACATGTATATCGATCACTCTATACTTATTAATAAATTAGGCAGTAAGCATCGTCTTTTATTCTTCAAGGAAACCAGTTGTTTCGCCAGTCACCTCCCTTGACACTTGGTCCACACATTATCCAATTATTTATTGAATTACCAGTAACTGCAGTTGCGGTATAATTGTTCTACATTTTTTATATAGAAAATTGGCCAATATGTAGGTACTAGGTACACGAACAATTCGTTTAAGACTTTATAGTGTTTTTCTTGTCCAGGTAGAGAAAGGATTCATTGCTGTCAAAACTGAATTTTCATAAAATCAATAGCCGACGCAATCAATCCGTCGTAACGACAGTCAAAAAAACTAAACAAAAAAAAAAAAAAAAAAAAAAAAAAAAAAAAACAACTATTTTTGTCATGTGACTTTTTATTTGATAATTCTTGTGTTTGACAAGTAGTATTTTTGAATATATAAGATAAATACTAATTCCCTGTTTATAAATCGAATATACAAAATAAATACACATATCATGTCAATAAATCGAATATACAACGTAAATACACATATCATGTTTAGAAATCGAATATACAACGTAAATACACATATCATGTTTATAAATCGAATATACAACGTAAATACACATATCATGTTTAGAAATCGAATATACAACGTAAATACACATATCATGTTTAGAAATCGAATATACAACGTAAATACACATATCATGTTTAGAAATCGAATATACAACGTAAATACACATATCATGTCAATAAATCGAATATACAACGTAAATACACATATCATGTTTAGAAATCGAATATACAACGTAAAAACACACATCACGTTTATAAATCGAATATACAACGTAAATACGTAAAATATGTAAAATCGGATTTTACTGCTATTATTGACAGAAATTCAAGTTCGAGTTTGTTTAGACTGTTTTACAAAACTTTCTTGTTTTGGAAGAATAATATTATGATATAACATTGGACATTAAAATACAGCCCTGAATATAGATGTATTCTATGATAACGCAATGGTGATGTCTGGACATCACTAATTTTCGCTGCGGTCTATACGGTTACTTGTGAAACATGAATAATAGATCATCGCCAAAGTTAACAAGTGCATATAATTATATGGACTATATAATACTGTATGTTTGTCAAGTCGATTTTTATTGGATAATCATAATGTTTTTTTTATATAAATATATACGGCTGCTGAAATTTGTGTTTTATTCTTTATTCAAATAAGAGAATAAAGCAATGATGAAGTTTCATCAGTTGCCATACAAAGATTTAGATCGGTAACTTTAATTTCCGAACGGAAAGGTTTGCTTGATTTTCTTACCTTATATGGTAAGCTTATGCCAGAATTTGTAAGACAGTATATTTTGTATCTTTATAACTTACGTCATCAAAATTGCTCAATCTATTCGTATAGATAAATATCAAATTATAATTGTATGCGATATTTTGTGCATAAAAGGAGATCAAATCAAACAGATATGTTCTGCACTTACCTAAAATGAAAGACACATTACACAGTTAAAGTTTTCTTTGTAGTATAAACATAAATATGATAAGATATTTCGTACGTTTTGAATAAGAAAAGATATCTATATGTTTTTCATTTTAAAATATCCCGGTAATTATTTTTTCCGATCACTGTATCACCTATACAATAGAAAGCGAAAAGTATTTTTATTTTCTTTCATTAACATAAAATCATGTAATTCAATGCCAATTTTCAGAAAAATTATCCTGCTTAACCTTTACTTTGCTTGAACCGAAACTGGTTAGCCTTTGCCAATGGTATAGTGTCAGTGATGGCAGCCTGTGCGATCGTGCGCTCTGGATTAGGCTCTTTGCTGCTGATAGCTCAGTTTTTGTATTTTACCAATGATATCCATTAAACTTCGAATTGACCTTCAAATTCAAAACTAAGGGCAAATCCACTACATAAATTTAGCAGGTTAGAATGAACACAAAATGTGACACGGTCACAAATGGAACAAAAGCTAGGCTGCAATGTGTTCTTTTTTTTCTATCTCAGAATGTGTTTGCTTAAAAAAGTTTGTCTCCCCGATGGGAAATTTCAAGCAAACTAAAATTCAAATGGATCGGTAAAGTGCTCTTTTATCTGAGGGGAATATTTTTTGTAAAAATAAATAAATAAATGAATAAATAAATAAAGAAAGATAGAAATAAAGAAATAGATAACTGATGATGATGTTAATAGTATTGATAATAAATGGCACTTTTGATTTAATAATGTTTCTATGCATTGGCTGTTTGTTACGAAAGACAGGAACCATTCGTCTTGCAGTATAAGTATATAATTTATCTTCTACGAGTCTTATATATGTCCCAATCACATCGTTAAATTTTCTCAAAATGTTGAAGAATTTCGTTGGAAGCGGTGTCTAGAGATGTGATCTAGTTATGACCTTTATAAAATGATCTAATAAAACCTGTCATTGCTCTCTGTCTTCAGAACTTCAGTGTGAGTATTTTTGTCTGACTTTGAAGTCAAATATTTGAAATTGACAAAGTCTTAAACCAAGTTGACAACAGAGCATTTAGGACTACTAGATTCTAGTAAAACATAGCTATAAAAATAAATTCTGTTCAATATTTGGACAAATAACAAGAAAATAAATACCAAAGATTAATAACATGTCCTTATATAGGCCTTACTTTAAAGGCTATAGTCTTTTAATTAATTTCTTCACATTTCGTGAACATGCATCTTTAAGTTCATAAGTAGGGATTGATTTTCTGGCTATCTTCTCGGACGGCAAGGGTGTTCATGTGCCAAAATATATCTTTAGTAACATACGGTTTAAAAGAAATAACATTTATTTGTATTGCGTGCATGACGCCATATTTCCGACATCATGAACAACACTGAAATACGTCATACTCAAACGTCAAACTGAATGACGTTTCTTATGTTTTGTTTATAGATTATAGTTAATTGTTTTTTTAAAAATATTTTGTTCTTTCATTATAACAATAAACAGTTTACCTTTTGATTTGATTTTTGGCTTAAATATCCACGTTTTATCCAAACTTTGTTCTTTCTTTTGTTTTATCTAACCTACGCGGTTGCTATCTCAGAAACTGATTTTGTAAGACTTGAAAATGACTAATATCCCAAGGGACTATTTTTCTTATTTATATATTGTAACTGTGGGCTAACTTCAAGGTGATGTCATGTGACCATACAATAAGATAGTTCC